TCAGGGTTGCAGTGCAAGAGGGTGGTCTGTTAGGCATCCCCCTTGCTGGGCTGATAGATAAGGTCAGGTTGAGGTAATAGAAAAGGGGTACTCCCTGGGTTTGGTTGGGATAGGTATAATAGGGAGGGCTTCTCCTGCTTTACACAGGGTGGCACAGAAGCCATCCTGGGTGAGGTGGGCTGAGAAAACAGGCCGGATTCAACACAGCCAAATAGAGGAGGAGCCCAGGCAGAGTTACTGAGACAAACTCATCTGAAAACACAGATAACTGGAAGAAATGGAAGGACATACATCTTGATGCCATGTGGCAGTTGTGTGGCAAACTCTAGCCACACAGGGTACATTTGGATTGTAAAGACTTGGCTCTTTTGCCTTCCTCCAAACAAAGACCCTGTAGTCTGGCAGCAAATTTTGCCAGCACACTTATGGACCAGTGACCAGGAAGCTGCTCCCTCTCCATGGGCTGACAGTTCTTTTCTTTTTTTAATTTGAACTGTAGTGGCTAATTGGAACCTCTAGCGACAAGGTTAGGGACTGCAGTGGCAGTGAATAGAACAGTACCAGTCCTCCTGGCAGAAAACTTCCCAAGCATGGATAAAGAGTTTGACATACAAATAAGTGAGGCACATATAACTCCAGTTAGCCATAACCAAAATAAATCTACACCACAAAGTGTACAGTAATCAAGATTCCAGAAATTTGGTACAAGAGCAGAATATTAAAAGGAATTCAACAATGGTTGCTTTACTGCCTAATGTTGTCTTCAAATTAGTTGTTCATATTATCAGATAATAAGTGTGCAAAATTGATAAAAAGTTATGAGAAATTAAAAGAGACAAAAAATTCAAGCATCAACTGCTCTCCTCTGTAGAATAGCAGAAATGAGTACAACTATGTAAGCCATCCTGAATACATGCATAAGCATGTATCTTCCCCCCTTTCTCTCCCGCTGTAACAATATCTTGCATACACATTTAACTCAAAAAGAAATTCATAGACTAAAATCAAAGGATGACATCACAACATCCTACCTGCGTGTAAGTGGCAGGACTCTTCCTGAAATTCTGTCTTTAAAGCAACGTCTGCACGAGCCTCCCACCCCTCAGCCTCTGATAACACTGTTTGCATCAGCTCATTTCCATTCTCCATGTTAGTGAAATCATGTGGTGGTTCAGTTAGTGCAGTGCCCACCAATTTCATCCATACTGTTGCAAATGAAGTGTTCCCCTTTTAAAGGCAGAATAGTGTTCCATTATGTATGGACCTTCATTCACTGATAAGCACATAGGTTGATTCCATAGCTTGGCTGTTGAATAGTCGTGAGTACAGGAGTGCAGGTGTCTCTACACACCGAGTGCATTACCTTTTAGGCTGTTTTGTGACCTAGCAAATGGTCTGGATTTGACTCACATGCCATGGTTTGTTTTGACTCTTGTTTTAGAAAAAAATGTATATGCTGCTATGTTTTTTAAATTAATTTTATTGAGAAATAAATAGCAATAAGACAGTTTCAAAACCAAGTAGTAGGACAGTTTCAGTAATTAATACATTGCATATTGTTGTCTTCGTAGTGGTTATTCATAGTACAAGATACAGACATGATATCCGGTCCAAACACTATTAGTACAAATCTTTCTCCTCATTGAATTAAGCGAAAGTAGCTGTATATCTATCCTATTTTGAATATACAGATACAAAATGGTCCTTCATTTGTAACCCTTTTTCTTGTTTAGTTTTGTCAGAGAAGAGTATTCCATTGCGTTCAAATATTGTAGGTGCGTGAATTCAGCAAAATAATTCAATATAGTCCAGTAGTCCATAATAGTAGTGGGTTTTCTGTAGGACTGGCAATATCAGAAGTTGTTGACTTGACCCTTTTACAGCTCAGCATATTAATATGACTTTACTTTTTATACCTCGTTTTTATACTTTTCTGCTGGATGGTTAAGACCAAGATAAAGCAAGACCTATATAACAAGAAATGTCCCTCAGGATTTACCCTGAAACCCTATACTGTAGTTTGTAGATCCTCTTTGAATGTCAGCCATGTGGATGAGTCCCGGCCATTGCTTGACCAATTTGCTCTCTGTGAAAGCCTGAGAGAATGTTTTCTCTCCGTGTGACTCTCCCTAGGCACACTCTATATCATCAATCACTTTCCTCTGTGGCCCTATAATCTCCTTGATCAGAAAATTTGGGACACAGCTGAGTTACAGGATGTTACAGTACAGGTTCTCCTATGTCCTGAGTGCTCACTGACCTTGAGAGGCTAGAACGAAAATGTTGGCTGTCCTTGCAGCCCTTCTTTTTCTCTAATTTTTGGTCTGCAAACTTAAGTTGTTAACTATCCAGAAGAGAAGCTTAATAATATTAACCTATAACATAGGCAGTTGAGCTTAACCTCACTATCTGTCTGAATTTCAAATGTCTTAGATAAAACATAGAACAAGTATTTTCCATCAAGTATTGGTATGTTAAACTTTAAATCCTTACAGAATGTGAAGGGAAAAAATAAAATAAGAAAAAATATTTAAAAAAATAGGAATAAACAATTAAATATTTTTACACAGAAATTTAGAAATCTAACCATATACAGCATTGTAGCAGGACAGTCCTATGGCATTTTTTTCTTGTCTCTTGTTTTCATTTATTACCCTTTTTTTAAACAAGCATTTATTGGAGAGACAGTATGGCAGTAATTGGTGTGTCATGACAAGCTGTATGTATTTAGAAGACCAGAGTGACAGGCACTCCAAGCATGACCCTTCTATTACACATTGCTATCTTCAGTGCAGTTGCTTAGTTCTCCAGTATCACCATATATATTTAGTCAGGGTGAGAATCCTGCCAGTTAACTGCTAGTTTCAAAAACCTGCTGAAGATTCTCAAGATCATTACCTTTTCCATCTTGTGCATATAAATGTATGGCTTTCCCCCTGTCATGTTTCCTAGCTTTCCTCTTTACCCTCTCTTCGTTGTTTAATCCTTAAGTTCTTGCTTTCCTTTTAATTGTGTTATACCTTTCTATTTTTATTTTTTCTTTTGAGTTCTTACACTAGGGAGACTATATATTTACAAATGTGGGTCTTATTTATTTCACTTATGGGTATATCTTCAAGTGGTATCCACTTAAATATAAAGGCTTTGAGTTTATCATTCTTTATAACTGAGTAATACTCCATTGTATAAAAATACCACATCTTTTTCATCATGTTGAGAATATATTCTGGGGATCAGAAGTGGGTGTAATGAGGTCAGGTGACAAGCTGTAACAATAATATTCCCTAGAGAGCCTGTTAAAGACCAGAGCAGATACCATTTAGTCATGGAGACAGATGAGAGTGTCTAGAAATTGAGCGCACAGAGGAATGATCCTCATCAGTAGTCAGGGAAATGCAAATCAAAATCACAGTAAAATGGTACTTCACACCTGTTAGGATAGCTCTTTCCCAAAAGACTAAAGATCCCTAGAGCTGGTCAAGTTGTGGAGGAAGGGAACCCTTGAGCACTGTTGCTGGGAATGTAAATTAGTGCTCCCGTTGTGGAACACAGTATGGAGGAGGCGAAGTAAGCCAGGCACAGAAAGAAAAGCACTGTGTGACTGAGCTTTGGAATCTTCTTTTAAAACATCAAATGCTGTACACAGAGTTAGTGAACCAGGCATTGGGTACCAGGGTCAGGGCAGGGGTGGTGTAGGCCCAAGTAGGACCAAGTAGCAGGACAGATGTAGCAGGTATGGAAGATAATCAAATCTAGATACCTAATATACAATGTGAGGATTATAGGTAATAAAATTGTATTATGTTCAGGTGTTTGTTAAATAAATAGGTTTTAGCTCGTCTTGTAACTAGAAAAGTGAATTTGTGAGATGATGGATTGTTAGTTCACTGCAGTAGCCATTTAATTATGTGTGTCCTATCACATCATGTTGTAAGCCCAGTTGCTTTTTTAAAAAGAGAGTAATCAGGGCCGAGGAGATAGCTCAGTAGAGTAAGTGTTTGACTGGCTAGTGCAAGGGCCTGAGTTCAATCCCTGGTTCTGCAAGTAAATAAATAAATAAAATAAAAAGAGAATAATCAACTCTTCCCAAAGTTCCCAAATGAGGCCTGAAAAGTTTAACACTAGCATTAGGTGTCATCATGATAAAATGGTTTTATTGAAGCCATAGTAGAAAAGTCTGCATGGAGTGGATTTGAGAGAATGGATGCAGAGGACCACGATGGCAGCAGCAATTGTAGGCAGTCCTAAACTTTTTTTTGCTACTATAAAGGAGGCCAAAGGAAAGGGAAGGTGGCTGGAGAAGAATTACAGTGCAGGGGAACTTTTTCAGCAGTGGTTATTAATGACTATAGAATATTTGTATGCAGCAGTGAACAAAATAGAATATCAGCCCTCATGGAGCCTATGGCTTGTTTATTTTTAGTTCAAGGTGGAGGCAAAAGTAGACTATAATGCAAATAATGATATTAAACTGGCCATTAGATGTAGCCACTCAGCTACCATGTGGGCTTGTGGTGGTGAACCTATGGCACTTGTGCCACAGTGCGCTGTTAGCACTGAAAGCCCTAAAAGATTTGCCATCACAGATATAGACATTTCACATTCATCCAAGTGGCATTATTCTCACCACCGCCCGATCACCTTTTCTCTGTTCCTCTTTCTTGTTTTCATGTCATTAAAAAGGCCAGGCACTGTTTGCCTGTGTCATTCAGGACAGAGTCCTATCCTCAGCCCCTGCAACTTCTCTATCCTCCAATGTGATCCACCAGCACAGTTGCCTTTATCTCTGTGAATTGAAGGTTCTTGCTAAAACCATAGACTTCAAAAGGGATGCAGCCAAGATTGGATTTATGTCGTGCTCCACTTGGAGCTGGCTTTCTGTGGCGGGTAGGAACGAACAGGCTGGATCGTTTTAAGATAAGATATGAACATCAGCAGAAGTACTTGTTGTGTGCCTCTGTAGACCGCCAGCTTACCTCATGTTGGTTTGGTTTTTGTAGGTGTACTGGTTTCATATTCCAGAAGGTTGGAAAGTTGGCTGCTACAGCTGTTGGAGGTGGATTTTTTCTCCTTCAGGTCTGTATATGAAATGTTCTTAGCCATTTGAAAATTCTACTTCTCCATTAGGGACCATTGAAGTTGGAGGAATGAAAGTGTAGTTCTGTCCATATTATGCTAGAATAGTTTTTGCAGTTGTTTCTGTGTACTGTTTTAAAAGCTGGTAACCATTTCACTCAAGTTTTATCAATTACTAGTCACATTTTATTTCCTCATATATAACATGGGGACAAAAGTACATATACCTTATTGTAGCTCCCTTAAGAACTACTGAAATATTAAGCAGATGTGATGTTAAAACTTTAAGTGACCCTGTTGCCTTGTGATACAGTTTATTCCCATGAGTTAACACCTTCCCACTGGCTTCAACTACCAGTGATGTATGTATTACTATCCCATCAGTGTGTACCACTGCAAGTATAAATTATTTACCTACTTTTATAGGTCTTTTTGCTAATAAAGTTAATAAAAAGTCTATAAATGGACCAAATCTAGTTTATTGGTTGAATGTGAGTAATTACTGCCCAAGTGAATGTTAATATTCATGCCAATGAAAATGATAACCAACACATTTATTTAAACAAAAAGAAATTTATGTTTGTGAATTTGTATATAAAGGTGACTGATTTGTGCACAGTATGCAAAATGCCACATCTTGGAACAATGTCATAGCCTTGTGTATGCTAGGCAAGTACTATACCACTGACTACACCCTCAGCCCCAGATCTCTTTTTTTTTCATAACTATGTGAGCAGTTCTAGTTCATTTACCTTTCTATGTAAGCTTTAGAACTTTTTTTGTATTTTAGGGAAAGGTCTACAGGGTGTTCAGGGTCTCACTACTAGATTGGACTCGTAGTGATCCGCCTGTTTACAGCCTCCCAAGAGCTGGGATTACAGGTGCGCGCCACCACACCCAGTCTCCATTGCCATCTCAGTGCACCCTGGGGTGGGGGATCGGACTAGAACTTGTGTTTTTAAATATCTATAAAAGATTGTGGGGCTGGTGAGATGGCTCAGTGGTCTAAAGCACCTACTTAGAACAAGCTTAGCAAAGCACAGGGACCACAGCAGTTCAATCCCCCAGCACCACATGCCAGCCAGCCCCGCCCCCTGGTGGGCTGAGCTGGCCACACACACACACACACACACACAAATAAATAAAATTTAAAAAAAAGATTGTGCTGGTGTTGCATTTTACACATCCCTCCTGTGTTAAGTCTTCCACATAAAACAGTGTATACATGCATAAGGGCACATATAGTGTTAGTGTCAGTAGATTGTGCCAGATTGCTCTCTTAAAAGGCTCCAGGTAATGCTGTTAATATGACGTATTAATGATGTTTTTCCAGACCTTCACTAATGTAGGATACTCTTCATCTTTTTCTCCAGTCTGGTAAAAGAACTGTGTACTGACTTATTGTCTTAATTTATACGACCTGAAGTATTTAGTGAAGGTGAACTTTTTCTTGGTCAGTGTATTATGTGAATTGCCTTTGCCTGTGTAAGTGGAGTTTTTTCCGACTGACTTGTAAAAGAACTTCACTTTTTATGAGTATTAATGTTTTCTTCATGATCCGAACATTTTCTCCAGCCTGTCCTGTTTGCGTAAAAATTGGCAGTGGTGTCATTAAATAAAGTAAGGACTAGAGGAAGAGCAACTGCAGGAAGAGACTCTAGAAGGGTAAAGGATTCCCATTTAGATGATGATCAAAAATTGGGTAGAAGTGATACTCATGGGAGACTGAGTGATGGGCTACATTTCATTCTTTACTCCTTGTATGACACTCACCCTTCGTAAGTCTGTGCACTTAATCTTGTCATGTTCAAAATTCCTTGATAAGATTGTTTTCTCTGACTTGCCTGTTTTGATTTTCATTTACCATCTTCTTGTTTAAGCTAACTTGAAATTTGGGAACAAAATTCTGTAAAGGAGGGAGAAGACCACAAATACATCAAGAGAATTGCCAGCAGTTACTGAGGGCCATCTGTTTATATCCCGTGCCAGGGATGCATGGGGTGGATGCTGAGTAGATGTTGAATGTCATTGTCTACAAAGAGCCAGAGAGAGTTCTTTCCAAAAGTGAGAAGTTGGAGAGTTTCGACTGTCTGCTTCATGATTTATGCTGACAAAAAGAAATAGCAGGTCTCTGTTTCTCATTTCTTCTTCTTCTTCTTGAAAACGTAGCTTGCAAACCACACTGGATATATTAAAGTCGACTGGCAGCGAGTAGAGACAGACATGAAAAAAGCCAAAGAGCAGCTGAAGATTCGGAAGAGCAACCAGATAACAACCGAGGTCAAGAGCAAAGCCGAGGAGGTACGGCAAGTTTTGTTCACAGGCCGTGTGTGAAGGGTAGACAGAAATGAAGCAGGCACACCAACATCTCAGCAGTGGCCAAGGGGCCAAGGTTAAAGAAATTATAAAGAACTTGGAATAATATGATGAAAACCATATTGTATAAATTAGCCATGGTTGAAACATCTAATTCAAAGCCCTTTTAAAAAAGCTGCATAAATGAGGGCCAGCCAGATAGCTCAGTGGACTAAAGTGCCTGCTGAGGTAGGCACAGGGACCCGGCATGCTGTGCCGGCCCTGAGAAGGCTAATGAGACAGGGCATGGTGGTGCACGCCTGTGATCCCAGCACTTGGGAAGCTGAAAACAGGAGGATCACTGTAAGTCCAAATTGTGTAGTGAGACCCTGTACTAAATTTTTAAAAAGCTGTATAAATGAATCAGTTGGTGGCCTTTATCAGTGAGTATACAAAATGATACAGATAATATTGGTAGTTGGCTAGTTCTTGGAGGACTGGGCTACTGCCACGGATAGGAAGTCAGTTCTACTGCCCGTGTGATCATTTGTTTTTGTCTCTGAGCCCACTTCTCTCTGAAACATCCACAATCTGCATAACTAGTAGGACTGCCGAGCTGAGGGGTTGGCAGGCTTCTGTAAAGGGCCAGATGGTAAATATTTTCAGCTTTGCATGCCATACGGTCTCTGTCATAACTACTCAACGCTACTATGTAAAATGAAAATAGACGTAGATGATGTATAAACAAGTAGGTGTGGCTATGTTGCTATAAAACTTTATTTAAAAGCAGATACAGGAGCATAAATCCAAGTTAGGTTATATTTGCTTTCATTAAAGGGACAGTAAATCTCTGTGTTTTGCTACTTTATTACCTTTAAAAACATGTTAATTATCCCAAAAAAAAACAAGTACACTGTATTGGGGAAAAATAAGCTGGAGTTGGACTGTCAAGAAGGTGGCTGGTCTCTAGCTCCCTCTACTTCCTGGGGAAAAGGAACAGATTTAGTGCAGAGGAGGAAAACACCCGGTGTCCTCAGGGTTATTGTATACTGAGGGGCTTTTCGTGCTGGGGACTGGGGACTTAAAGATAAATCGGCATACTCCTTGTCCTTGTGGAAGTCACACTGTAGTAGCAGTGACAGGAAACTGTCATGTAACCAAGTGGAGTAGTAGATGAAGTACTTAGGTAAATATGGCAGGTAAATACATGTGCTTTTTTCAACTTCTGAAGTATTTCTGAAAGATGGTAACAAAGTAAAAAAAGCCCAAACTCACAAGGACCAAGAGAACAGGAGATAAACACTAGAAGACAAGACATGTCAGCAACTTCTGGAAGTTGGAAAACAGATAGTTGAATGATAAGTGACTTAGCAAAATAGAATTTTTTTTGCAGTACTGGGGGTTCAATTTTGGACCTTGTGCTTGCCAGGCAGGTGCTTATGGTGCTGAGCTATCTCCCTGGCCCAAATGAAAGAAAAAATTCTGAGCAGAAGCCTCAGCACGTCAGGTACACGGTGACAGTCCTTGTACGGTGGCAACTATTTGTTAAAGCTGGTGCTGTTGTCCAGTGTGGGATCATAGAACCTGTTTTCTGACTTGGAAAACAAAGCTGTGAAGTTCACTATTTAGCAGTGAGATAACTTGAAACAGTTTTAGTGGTGAAGTTGAGTGATGAAGTAACAAATTGAAGAATAAATAGGAAGAAAATAGAAATAATAAATGCAGTTATTTCAAAAAAGGTGGAGCCTCTTTTGTTTCCTTCTGGTGGTAGATGTCCCCATTTATTTAGAGAAATGTGAAGGTCCAGGGGAGTTAAGGGCAGGGGTGGGAGTGAGGTTTGAAGACTGGCTGAAGAAGAATGGGGTGACAAAATGATGGCGAATTTAGGGTGTCAGTAGCTTACATGGGAGATGAAGTCCCTGTACTTGAGTTCAAGGGATAATAAGGCCAGGAGGCTTAAGGGTACCTGGATGTACCCTCCAAGCCTCAGATAAGGAGGAACTTCACAGGGCAAAGAGAGATGGTGATCTTTGTAGTTTAAGGAAATGAGGATGTTGCTTATTAATCATCAGTAATAGAGATGAATCCTGATATTAACATCTTTTACAAAATAACCCATTTGCTAAATATTCTGTTCCCAGGTTGTGTCATTTGTGAAGAAGAATGTTGTTGTGACTGGAGGATTTTTTGGAGGCTTTCTGCTCGGCATGGCATCCTAAGGAGAACAACTGTACTTCTATTTTCTGGTTTTTTCCCTCCAGCGGACAGCCTACACTCCATAATAGGGCATCAAATGTCTCCCTGCTCTTCTCCTGTGCCTTCCTCCCTGTTGTGACAGATCTGAATGGCTTCTCTAGGCATCTGT